TGTAGAATACCTTATAGGGCACAAGGGGACAATTACAAAGTAGATATGCAGTTATTTGACCAGTACTGGAATACTATGCAGTACTGTTAAAAGCAAATACTTGTTGTAAGGACATGACTGGAGACAATTATCTCCATGTCTCTTTGAGTTCTGAAATTCACTGGATAAGTTTTGGAAGGATGGACACATGGCATATTGGGTCTTGAGCAGGTAGAGGTAGTCCAGACAAGAAGTACAACCATGAGTACTAACTGTATCTTTATTGTAAGGTTACATTAACAGAATCTTGCAAATCTGAAAGTACCCCTCCTGTCCCTCACTTTTACCCTCCCCAAAACTATGGAGGGTCCCTTCTGAGATGCTTTCTCCACTCCTCCTTCGGGCTCAAATTTCATATATCAATTTCACTTCATTTGTCTAGGCTGTGGCTCTTCCGCCTGTCTCCCAAGGTCATTCCCACATACCATTACATTTACTGAAGAAGGTCAAATGGAAAAAAAAACAGTGGTAGGAGACAAGTACTCTGCTCTGCCATGGGGGGGAAAATTAAAAAAAGGGGGGGGAATATGACTGAATGGGATATATGTATATGGGTATGTGTGTATACAACAGTAGGCCAGAATTACTGTAAGCAATTGTGTGATTTGCTCTTACAGTTATACATTGGAGTCATTTTACTGCTGACATCATAAAAACATAGTACTTAGCTAATCAAATGATACTTAAAGAACCTCTTTGGGCAGGATATGATACTATGTTTGTAATAAATGCTGTTTACCGTGAAACAGACATGGAACAAAATCCTGTCCATATTTGTACAGAACTTCCCTGTTGTGGCAAAGAGGCTTAATCCCAAGTAAACGGCCTTACAACCTGTGAACAACGTCTACATTAAGGGTTTACCGCAACAGTTGGATTCTATACAAACACAGACCATTACAGTTTTCATCTCCTTAGAATATCCAAAGTAGTTAGAGATATGACCACTACAGTTTCAAGCCCACATTGCCAAATCCAAACAAATCTAGAGTTACTATATTTGGGGAATTGTACCTAGAAATGTTCACCTAAACAGATCATCTCCTAATTCAGGAGAGCAGATAAAAATCTCTAACTCCTCCAAATAGTGTTAGTAAATTGTAATTTTGTAATATGATAGATGGAACTATGTTTAACAAGAGAGAACTATATTTAATTTTAGCTTACAGTCAAATTAACTATATGCATTTTTGTTGTTGTTTGGGGCTTTATTAGCATGCAGCTCCTAGAACGTCATATGTTATGTATCCACATCCTGAGATAACAGTCTCTATTTATATAATTAAAGTATTCTAAATTTATTTTAATTGCATTCTTACTGCTACCACATTTTGTTTTTTAAAAAAAAATCTTTGCTTTAGAGAGAATTCTGAACTTTGCTTAGTATTTCACATTAAAGACATAATTCAGTGAATGGATACTAGTAAAACCTACTGGACATTCTGGGACTTTTGAAGAATTTGCAACAGATTGCTATGCAAAAGATAATAATCCTGCCACTGTTTCTGGAAGATTGAATCCAAAGAGTAAAGTTGGTCCGGCAATGTGAAGAAGAGATATACTTCAGTGCTGCTAGTCTGTAGAAACAATAGTAAGAAGGACAGTGTGTTCACTCTGAAATACCCCAGATTCCTACATTCTTAACTTTTGAGCCAAATGTTAGTTTTGGCTTCTGTGGCTCAGCTGGACATCTCCTATTTATAAAATAATCAGAAGGTGAAGTGAGATAAAGAAGTAATTATAATGGAATAACTGATTCCATGCTGGTTGAAGGCATAGGGCATTGGTTCGTTTTTGAGCACCATGTGCAAACTCAGTTTGTAATCAGTGGTTTATGCTTTAGCATGTTGAAGAACCTGCTGTGGTTTAATCACTGTGTATTTCCCTGAATGTCTCTCTCACACTCACATGAACCCATAGTCTCAGAGCTCCCAGTTCTGACGTTTCAAAGTCCAAGCCTATGTTCTGAATGCCCTAAAGTCTTTCCTGGGGCAGGCCAAAGCAAGCGAACATCTGCAGCGTTCATGCCACTGGAAATTCTATGGCTGACACCATCTTCCTGGGTACCCTGAACTTACCCTGACCCTTCCAGAGAATATCTTTGGACTAAATAAATCACTTCAACAGCTTTGCCCTGGTGGCCTTTCCTCTGCATCTACTACCACTTCTGGGCAGGGCTAACAGCATGGGAGACCAGAGCAGAAAGCGAAAATGAAGAGGAAGGAGCCAGTTTGGAAGGAGTGGGAGAAGGGGGGACTTGAGCTGGGATCCAGTCATTGCAATGGCTGAAGTGTGACATGGGAAGGAAGGTTTAAAAGCTCGAAAAAAGATTTGGGGAGAAACCAACCAACCAAGCAACCAAGCAACCCTGCTTTGAACGTTATTCCAGAATGCTGCCCTTGCTGCACCTTTTGAAATATTTTCCAAGGTAGGTGTTAGGAACATGTCCTTGCAGGGGAAACTGACAGTCACTTCAGTCTTCTCGTTTGCTTTTGCTGATTTTGAACAGAGGTACCTGAACTTAACTGCTTAATTTCAGATGAAATCAAGATTTCTGCCAGCGTGTCATTAGAGGCAAGATGTCTCCAATCCCATTTCCCTCAATGGAACAGCTCCTGGGGGGGACACTGCCTTTATTGATTGATATGGCTATTTTATTCTGCATTCTGTAATGCACACAATGCATTGGGATCAAGCATGCAGGCTTGCTTAAACTTATATCGCCTGGTTAATTTCAGGTGTGTTTGCTAAATGGTCAAAAGAGTGGACAGCACAGCCCTGGCAACGGAGCAGAACCGGTTCTCAAAGTCACTAAAGAAACAGTCTGTCAACAACGGCTTTTTCTGTACCTAATGATGGCTGAAAATTAGTAGGCAAGCATTTCTTGGTCCATTTAACAAAACAGCACCATCATCTTAGAAATTTGGAGGTCTAATCCTTCCCTTCCAAAGCCAACAGTCTCCAGCATACTCTGAAACACGCACACAAAATAAACTGAATGGAAGACTGATTCATAAATGCAGTGTTCTGAAATGCCTGAATAACTCTGTTGTACGCTCCTGCATCTATCCCTGCAAATTTTGTCACAAAGATGCCATTAGCCACAGCATATGCTAAACACCTTTCTTAATGAGAAAGAAGACCCAACAGGAATCGTTTCCACATCAACCCTGCCATATTTACAACCATCTTTCATTTGTGCAAGGAA